AAATTCTAAAATATTGATGTGTATTTGATTTCTGTCTTTAATTTTTTTTTTAAGTTAATACCTTTTCTCTTGAATTATTTGAAAAATATTTAGAGTTGCTGTTTGGGAAAATACAGTTAAATGATTTTTTTCAGAAAACAAAAAAATGCAAAAAAAACGCCTTGTCTTTGTTTAGATGAATTGGATTTTTCTCTCTTTTTTTAAGGGCAAATACCTTCTGACTTTAGAATTTATATAACAGTCTGCAAAATATATTTATGCACACTTGGTTATAGGTGACAGCTCTATTGATCTAAAAGCTTACTCTGAACAATCCTGAATGAGTCTTCAGTTTGTATAAAACTGGTATTTGCAATGTTCATTAAACCTCACAGTTCAAAAAGGATAGTAGGAAAATATAAGCTGGCTTTGGTTCCGAAACTAACTCTTATACTTTAAAACTGCAAACAAACTCTGTTTGAAACTCAGAATATTGCAATGGATTGTAATGGATGGATCCATCTTCTTCATCCTTTGCCTTCGGTAGATGAAGATGTGTGATACAGGTGGTGCCGTGTGACATGGGTGGGTGTTTCTCTGGCAGAACTGGGGTTTAGTGGAAATGGTGACTGCCTGGAGACATGGGGTGTATTTCGCCTGTGTCTGCGGAGCCGTCATTTCTTTGCTGTGCTTGCCAACAGGGTGTGTGTTCTTGTGGAGTGATGTGTAATCCTCTCCACCAGAACATGGAAGCATGACTTCAAGAAGTTTTTAGCTTTTAAAAAAAAAAAAAAAGTGTGTTGCCTATCCAAAGTTAAATGGTTGCATGTGGGAGAAAAATGCTCAAATGTTTTCTTCAAAGTCTGAAGCTATAACGGGGAATACAGTGTAACTGGGGAGAAGTCAAGCTGATGATGAGCTGTTCCCTTTCCTCTGGCAGCTGGAAAGGTTGAGAATGAGCATGTTGATTTAAAAGAGGATTGTGGATATGGCTTGTTGTTTTTTGTTTTATTTATTTGAATGTTAAAAGCTGCTGGAGAGTACAGTATGAGCCCATGGGCAAGGGGAGCATTTCTATAAAAGCTCTTCAGTGTTATAATCCTAGTTTCTGCTTCAGTGGGATTGACTGGGAACTTTGGTGAGGATGAAACTTAGCCCTAGAGGAAATAAATTCCTCTTAATTTATTGGATCTTAATTAAGATCCATTAAATGAATGTTAAGGGCAGGGGATGTCTTTCATGTCTCTACAGCTCCTGGCATGCAGGTGGCCTCTTCCCTGTGTGAACATTTAGATTCAGTTTAATAAAATGGATAATAATAATAAGCTCATATGCCCTCTTCTAATGCTGAAGGACAGTTGTGAAGATCTCTAAGAAAGGACTGAGTGTGTGTCATACTCTTTCAGAGACTATGGATGGGTCTTGGGAGTGTTAAAAGCAGAGGGAGAGCTCTGTCTGCATCATTGCTCCTGTTGACTTTGTCTCTGAGTTGGAGTGCTGGGACTCCCCACCGAGTATCAATTGATCTTAACCATTGGCTTAAGAGCTGGAGGAGGATGAAAAGGGAAATCAAAGTGAGACGTTCGTCATGGATCCCTGGTGGAAGAGCAGGCAGAACTCCTTAAAAGTAAGATTGGAAGCAGCCTAGCCAAATAACAATTCAACTATAAAGTGGAGGTCTCAGTTTTGGACAATGTTGCTGAATTTGTCCTGTTTCTATACAGGCCCAAAGTCGAGTCTGCAAGGAGCTCATTAATATCCTGTCCAGATCCATTCAGAATCAGGTGCCGAGCTCAACACAGCAAGGCCATTTTAGGAGTTCTGAAGACCGTCTGCATCACACGTGCAACGAGCCTAGTCTTGCTGTGCTGGTGATACAGAGTCATTCTGCATGTCATGATGCATACGACTAGATCAGATAGGCTTAGTGTCAGATCTGTTGTGCATTACCTTCCTGCCATCTTTCAAAGCACAGGCATTGTCATTTAAGTATGAACTTGCTTGAACTTCTCCGTAAATTCACAAGCATCTCACTGATGTAAATTATTCTGATATTGCCAAATCCTTTTCTTATGAATGTGAGAGTCATGCTGAGTTTGACATTTTGTTGGGAAATCTTAAGCCTTCTCTTGGCAGTGTTGTATAAAGGTATAGTTCCTGCCCAACAGCAGTGCTTGCATTACGGAGAAGAATGGACATCTGCACACATGGACAGGTTTTCATTCTGTTTTTGCTTTCCATGCATCACATATTCAGCCTACTTTCTGAAAAGATACGGTTTGTTGGAAATTGTTAAAACTTTGAAACAATTTAACAAGTTTATGCATGTAAACTAGCAATTACAATGTCTTACGTGCAAACAAAATTTTTCATACCCATCATAATTCATACCATTTGTACCTTAGAGAGATCTGGAATTATAGGAGAAAAGGGAAATAGAAGGAGAAGAAAATGGAAATACTGAATCTAGAAGCACAGGAATCTGATATTAAATCTTTATGTTCTGCCCTGCCGTGTTACAACAAAATCCAGTCAAAAACTGGGCAAGTGCTGGGGTACCACTTGTGTAAAGCTCGTCATGGATTTACATCCCTTCCCAGGCCTTGTGGACTCATGGCACCATCCATGTTTCCTTTAAAGACCCTCCCATGTAGCTGATCAGTGTTCTGTAGCTCTTGGAAATCTGTGGTCCGGAGTCTGTAATCTAGAGAAGGGCTTTCTGAATCCTGGGCAGTTTCATGCCAATGCTCTGGCTTGGTGCAGGCAGCCCTCCTTGGAAGCCAGGCAGGAGTGTGCTGGCAGAAGATCTGTGCTGGCAGTGGCAAGGGACGGTTGTGCAGCACTGCAGAGTAAACTCATTGGGGGTGACTGATGGCTCACTTCTTTGTTGCTCCCCTGTGGACCCAGAGGTACCAGTACTGTATGCCTGCCTTGCAATTTAATAGTTGCTTTAACGAACATACTGCTGAAAGCAAATGGGCAATACAGAAATATATGGAAGGATTCAGAAACTGTTGAGGTAGTGTAAAGGACAAATTAAATGAGGTTGAACTTTGAAACAAGTGAAAATGTGACATATTGATAGGTTTTAATTGAAACACATATACTTAAATGTGTGTTTCACATTAAGCAGAAGCTTTAGGAAGTGATGGTGCTAAAAGATTTGCTTGCAGATGGATAGATATTAGACCTGGTTTTGCAAAATCTTGCAATGATCAAAAAAGTGGGTGCAGTTTTGAATCCTGAACTAGATTTGGCTGTATATATATTTTGATTTATTTATTTTTTAAACAGAACAGTTTTTTCATCAGAAAACACAAATCCATTGAAGAAGTGATATTTTAATAGGAATGGGGTAGATGAGGGAGCTCTTTTGGAAAAAAATCCATATATCTAAGTTTAATCTCTCTTATTGCCTGATGGTCATGACATACTACCGGGCTATGAAAAATTACAGTTAAAGTCCTTGGTCTGGCTTCCTCATGCAATCCATGCTCCTAAGCGAATACTGGAGCTGCTGGACCTGATTCATACTGTGTAAATTATTTACTGGAAGAGGAATTTGGAGCTGGTCTAACCATGCAGCTGTAGGCAGGACCTCTGCTTCTTTATATGTTTATGAAGACTGGAACAACTCCTGCAAAAGAAACAGAGATATCCCAGTGTCCACACTAGCCTGGGGAATCACCTGAAATGTATAAGAATTGGGAGACAGGGGGATGACAGCTAAGGCCTTCAGTGTGGGTCCTCTCATTATTGGCTCCTTTTCCATGAGGAATGTAATCTAAAGGGTTTATTCTTGTTTTGGTTCAGAACGCAATCTTTCTTTTAGGTCTGTGATTCGGTGTGTTCTCTGCCTCTCCTGTCCTCCACATTTGATCAGAGGTCCGAGTTTCCTTTCTCACCAGCTTTGTCGTTATTTTGTGGGGTTTATGTGTTTCCTAGACAAATTGGCTCATAAATCGGAATTTTGAATGAAATTTAACTTTAGTTTTCAATCCTGAGTATTGCAGTGGTCAGGAACATGCTTTGTGTGAGTCTTGGTGGCAGAGTGAGCATGTAAAGGTGTGGGGTTTTTTTTCCCCCTTTTCCTCAGCCTAGTATGAGGTGACAATGGAAAGTGTCTTTTCCTCTTACTGCTAATAATCCACACGCTGATGTCTGATAGGAAGAATAATGCTGTTAAGGTTACCATGTTTTTCATACGTATACACTGTGGGTTATCTCTGGCTTGAGAGTTTTGTTTGTTTTTAAACACGGGCCAAATCAAACCCTGCGGTTTAGCAGCAGTGTGTATTGTGTGTGCAGGCATAACTGGAGAGAAATTTTATTCCATGGCTCCTTCCGTAATAGTATCCTGGTCTCTCGTAGCTTGCTCACTCTGTGGATACGAGTTATCTGTGAACTTTTTTTTTGTTAAAGAACTTTTTAAGGGCTCCGAGTTACCTGAAGCAAAGGTTATATATGTGCAAATACAGTGCTATTATTCTCAGCTTCTGGGATATTATTGTGCTACAAAATATATGGAGGCTAACAGAAATGGCTGTTTCGTGACGTACCATGTACTGTTTGTTACTTTGGGACTATAAAACTTGATTTGCTTGTCAGTCTAAGCAGACCTAGTACACAGTAAACAACCTATGTAGTAAATCAAGGTGCCGTGCACTCACCACAGAAGTCATTTTCAAACAAAATATATATCGTGTTCAGTTAGGAGAATATGTGCTAAATATCCCCGTTATAAATCACAAGTCAGAATCGCAGAAGAGTGATTAGTCAACTTGTGGTTATTTTTCCATTTATATTACCCTGTAAAAGTAAATAGTTATTTTTCATTTCTTTATCGTTGTTGGTTACAACAAGATCCATTGACTTGGGATTCACCAGGAACCAGTAACTTTTCATATTGTTGATACTCTCAGATTTCTAATTGTATTCCTATAGAGAACAGAAAACCAAGATAAGACATTTATTTCTTTTTCATTTTCCGCCACCATCTCCCATTTCCCTTCTTTTCACAGAATATCTCCATGCATAACACAGTTGGAGGAGCAATGGCAGGACCTGGATCTCACCAGCTGCCAAATACAAGGATGCCAAACCATGATACCAGCGTTGTGATTCAACAAGCCATGCCATCTCCGCAGTCCAGTTCGGTCATTACGCAAGCACCTTCCACAAATCGACAGATTGGGTGAGTCCACTTCCATTTTCTCATTTCTCTGGCTCCAGCAGCTGCATGTAGGACCAGATGTTGTCCTCATGGTTCTTAAGGTTCAGCTGCATGCAGGACCAGATGTTGTCCTTGTGGTTCTTGAGGTTATGGAGTTTGCACTTGATCCTGCCAGCATGTAGCAAGGACCCCTGCAATGCGTGTTGCGGTCTGGGGGGGAAATGGCCAAGTTACTACATCTACTCCAGACCTGGCACTTTGGTTCAAAAGAGGCAGAGTGCTGTACTTGCAGGGAAGTCCTGCTTTCTTCATCCAGTTTTTTGTTTGGTTGTTTTTTTTATCTGTTTACATTGAAAGTTCATGTTGTTTCTATAACTGCTCTGGGAAGAAAGACGGAGTATTTCCGATCCTTTCACTTCCTTCAACAGGAATTCTGGGTGCTCAGTGGGATTGGGCTATTTCCTATGCAATCTGTTTAACTGAGGAATTCTAGAACACAAAATAAAAAGGCCACCAAGATAAATGGAGTTTGGCACAGAGACCTCTGTGAACAGTTGCTCAATTTGTGATGATGGATCCATATTTATTCCCATAAGTTGACAGTATGGATGCTTATTGTATTGGCTTGAATGCCAGTTGTGTGTTCATGTTTGGAGAACTGTGTGAACAAAAAAATCCGTGTTTTGTACACTCGGTTACTTCCAGCAAACACGAGGTCCTTATAAGTCACAATAACTTGTCTTTAATTATAGAGAAGCTGCCTGATGGTTTGAGGGTACAGTTTTTTGTCACGCAACGCTAAGATTTTGGGGGGTTTTATGCATGAAAACATATGGATGAAAAGATAAATCAGTGGACTGAGAATGAAGCAGCAGTCTAGATTCATTATCTGTCATTTGTAATTTGGTCACATCCATTATATGACAAGTGCAAAAGCAGTCTCTGTCCCCAGCCATTGTCTAAGTAATTGATGAGCAACTTGCAGTCTCTTCAGAGTAAAACCAAAAAGTTAAATCCTGGCATTGAAAACTCAGAATCCAGTTACTCTTGAGTTTTCTTTCAGTACCCCTGATGGCTGGGGCAGGATATTGACCACAGGGTCTCTGTCTCCCAGTGCTGTGGTGGCAGGGCTGGTCCTTGGCACTGACTTCTCCATAAGGGTTATCCAGCCACACACAGGACACAGGTTCCATCCACTGCCGCAGTTTTGTGCTTCAGGCAAAGTTCCTCTACTTTGCTTTTTACTATGACTTCAGGATTTGATTCTTAAGATAGATAGCATGGGTCAGATAAACATATTTGATAGATGTGCCTTTGTATACGTTACATATTGACAAAACACAGTGTTCACTGAGATTTCCTGCGCAGTACTGTTTGGCTGTGAATCCAAGAAACTTGTCTTATATATGTCCCATTCTGTTCAAAGACGGAGGGGTGGGAGAGAGAGAGGGAGGAAGAAACTGTTTCTTTTTCAGTTTTAGGAAGAAAAACAACTAATGCCATTATTTGGGTTAAGGATGATTAAGCTCCTGTTCAAATTGTGACTTAATAGGTCTAGCGGTAATTATGATCCTAATTAAAAACAACAAAAAAAAAACCCAAACAACTTTTAATACTCAATGGTGAGGTGTTTTATATGGGACTGTACTTGGCTTCCAAACAATTGTTTCTATATAATGAGCAAAAAAAAATGCATGTGGTTTTGCAAGACCCTGTCAGTCAGGTTTTAGGTTTGCGTTGGTTTGTGGCCATGGTGATTAGAATCTCCAAAGTTGGAGGGGTTGAAGATAGAAAGGCCTGTTTCCTAGTCAGTGATGAGCATCTCATTTGGGAAACTTTGTCATGACATATCTTAATTCTCCCCTGTGATCGAATCACACAAACATTTCCTAAGTCTGAGTGTAAAGCTGCTCTATTGGGAGGCAATTGTCAGCATTTTAGTCTCTGTGTGAGTTGGTGTGTGAATGAGACTTATGGTGTGACCTCCAGCATACTCTGTTCCCCATTCTTCCCTCTTCCTAGGAGGTTTTGTTTTTTGTTCATGGTGTGTCCTAGGAGATAATTGCTGCATTTTGGACTTCATCTACTTGCCAATGTGTTGAGCATCCTTGTTGTTTGTCTTCTTTTCCTTCAGCCTTTTCCCTGTGGTGCCTGTTTTATTTATTCAAGGAACATATCTTGTCATTTCCATTTATCTTCATCTTACCCTTCTAAACGTGCTAAGAATTATATCCAAGACTCATTCACGAGGAACACAGGCTGGACAATGGTTTCAATATTAGGCAACTGACGGAAAATCCAGATGGATACAGAAAACGTTGGACTTCTGCAAAGTTTGGTGGTTTTAGTTTGGCCTTACAAAGTTGAGATGGTTCAGCTTTTTAACAAGCCCACATTCTGAGGTGCTCAAATCAGTGGTTTTGGGTTGGGTTCCCCCTTTTTTTTTTTTAAAACATCTGAAGCTGCCCCAAAGGATAGATGAGTCCTTACCATGGAGAATTGTGCCAGGGAATATGCCTTTTAATGAGCAATAAAACCAGCAGAGAGCAACTGGGCAAAACTCTCATTGAGCTAGTTCTGTAAGAGCAGGATCAAGCCCTAAAGGTTATATAGAACCATCTTGTAGCAATATTCTGATTTTTATCACAACCACAAATATTTTAGTGTCAGACTACGGCCAAGCCACCTGCAAATGTTTGTGATGGCCTTACTCCAATGAAAACAGGGAACAGCAATGAAAGTCTTCATTTAGACCCTGCTCGTAGGCTGTGCTCCAGTAACAGAGAATGGGACCCACCTGTGCCTGCATACAGCTTGTTTCATGGTGAGGAGTGGGCGAGTTCACAGCAGCTGAGGTTCCCGAGGGATGCAATTTTTCCCTACTTTCTTCTCTCCCCCTCTCTTTCCTCCCTCTCCCTCTGTGCCTCTGTCTTTTTTTTTGTTTTTTATATCCCCTCCTCTGGCTCTGGGGGCTCGCATATAAAACGAGCTATTGACGCAAGGCATGGGAAAACATGATAGAATGAGCGTTGTTGGGCAAGCCTTACTGGCACAGTGTATATACACACATTGTTTCAGGTATTAAGCTTCAGCTACTACTGAACAGGCATCCAGCCAGATTATTCAGAAAAAGGGAAGAACATGAAGGTTAATAACTGGAAAAATAAGACAGGGTGCAGTCCCACTTTCCTCCCATCATGTACCTGGTTGAGAACAAACAGCAACATTATCATTACAGCAAACTGGCAGGTTGGTATAAAGGTCCCAGATAGTATTTACGTGGTGAGGCAGTCTCTAACCTCCTTGCCATCACTCCTCCCTCCCCCCCAAGCCTTTAGCATGTGGGAGGAATGCTGTAACTAGTAACTACTTGTGCTGATGAAAAATCAGTTGAGGAACACTTAGCAGTGAAGGGTGTCTTTGGCTGATTAATAGCACATCATTTGGAGATAAGATACATGGAGGAAAAGCAGTACGGCATATGGAGGAAGGGGAGAAAAAATGATATAAGACATACATTTGTCAAAGGTATAGAAAGGCAGATAAGCTGAATCAGCTCAAGATATGGGACTCTCAACTAGACCATACAATAGCAGTGTTTATCTTCTTTTCTTTTTAAATAACCACATTTTTTTCAGTGACTGAGTATTCAGCAGTGTATGTGAAAATTATGGTCAGACAAATTGGTCACAACGCAGTACACTGGTTGCTTTATCTGGGCACATCTTTTGCTAGGCAAGATGTCTTTTTCAGACCAGCGAAGACTGTAGGTGGCTGCAGCCTAACAGCTCAGCTTTCCTGGAGAAAGTAACCTGCTGCTGTTTTTCAAGCTAGTAGCAGACATGACTAGTAATTATTCCAGCTTGAAACTCACTGGTACAGCTCTGTAGCTGAAAGGGAACACGGGAGGATTCAGGGCTGTCACAGATCCAGCAAGTTGTTAACACTACTAAATGGAGAGAGACATGAGTCCAGTTTCAGCGAACTCAGGCTCCAAGGTGGACATAGAGCAGTAACCATGTGATGTAGATTATCTGTTTTCAAAGCATTGTAGAGCATTTTAATCAAGATAAGATGGTCTTCTGGCACAGCATCAGAAGGGAGAAATTGCAACCACATTTGGTGAAATGCAAGCAGGTAGGAGAAGGCAGCAAGAGGGATTTGGAAGATGCCTCTGGTGCCTTTGTGTACCAAAGAATCATGGTACCAGTGGGACAACAGCCTTTCAGTCCCCACATGCAGCATTCATTTTAACACCTATGCGCTTCCTTCCTTTTCCTCTGTCTTCCCTCTCATGATGCCATACGTCTCTCTGCTTCCAGTTTATCATCTTTTCATAGGGTTGAATGCTTTCCAAACAGAGGGGTATGGGAAATGGAGTGGTCGTGAAAACTGTGTGGGACTAACAGAGGTTTGGTGACACAATGAAGAGCAGACTCATTGTGACTGGCCTTGGGGATTTGAAAAAAAACAAAAAATTCTCAGCTGTAGTCTTAGTCTGAGGGACCCAAGGTGGCAGAAGGACAGGGCTCCTCTCTGGCAAGAACAGGAGTTTTGCCATAGCAGCAAGCTATCCGAGACTGCAGCTGCTGGTTGAGTTGTCAGAGTTGTCCTGCCATCATCCTTTATAGCTTGAGGAAACAGAAGACTCCTGTAAGAGACGTTCACAGGCAGAAACCCTTCTATAATGCAGCTAGTTCTGGAAGGCACTTGGAATAGGCTGGTAACTCGGAAGCGTCTTTGTACATGCCAGAGAAAGTCTCTTTAAGCTCCTAGTAAGTTGGGGGAGTGTGTGGCATCAAAGAGGCCATGGAATGATGTGCTTTTATTAAATTCAAAGACCAGTTCCCTTTCCAGGAAACCTGGGATAAAAGCCTCTGTTCCAACTCATGTATTTGAACTGAAGCACCACAGTATGTTGTGAGATGAGAAGAAATGTGCAGTGAGAGATGAAGTATTAAATGACCTCTTGATTACTTGATCATGTCCATTCTGTAGCCTGGGTTGCACAGAATGTAAGA